CCCTTACAGTACACGCATTTTGGTGCAGTGACTGTGCAGGCGCCATCCTCGTGCTTCTCCCCGCATTTGGAACAGCGTGCCTTGCTGCCACAGTGAGAGGCCGTATGTCCCAACTGTTTGCAGTTTTGGCAGTTCATGACCCGAGGAACAAACAAACGCACAGGTAGCCGAAGTTTTCCTAACTCGATGTAGTGAGGAAGGGCTGAACCAGAAAAGGTCCCCCGAAACGAGTCTGTGGGGGTAAAGCTCTTTTTACCCTCGCTGAAAGATGCTGAGTTCAGCTTCTGGACTTCCAGTATCTCAACCGTGGGAAGCAAGGGGTTCTTGAAACGGCCAACCGCTTGCTTCGCCAAGATCTCGGGGGTCAGACTCGCTTCGGTGACCACACCTTCGATCTCTACATTACGAGCTGGGATGTACACTCTATACTCGAGTGTAAAGAGCTGGGAGGCAGCAATCTCGTTAGCTTGTTTCAGGTTAGAGACGACAACGCGAAGTTTATTGTACCTCACCTTCGAGATTTCGGTCACGGCCGAGAACCGCTTCGTCAGATCATTAGTAATTTGCATTACATTCAAAGGTTTCTTTTTGGGCTGAAAGTAAACAACCCATGGGCCAGTCGAGTCTTCTGGGTAGGCTCGCGATCGGGGGCTTATCTGTCCCTGTCCATTACCAGACTGAGATGACGAACCAGGGATGGCATCATCTGATTTATGGGATGACAGACGTTTTCGACCCTTCTTGCTATCGCGTGGCAAAGAAGTGTCATCTTCCGACAAAACGTCCATTTCGTCTTCCGACAAAATGTCCATTTTGCCGTACTAGTGGGAGCGAAAAACGCTCTACCACTGCAACGATAATCAAAATTACTCGGACACAATACACGAAGAAAAAAAAATACTAACACAGAAACACAAACTTAAAATTCAATAGATGGGAGAAAGAAAGAAACAAGAACAAAAACTTATCTGATAATCCTATACTACTATCACCGAGCGTTTACACAGCAGCAGCGGAGCGACGCGCAGCTTTGATGATCTTCGATCCGCGTGTGCGGGCGGTCTTCGTTGATGTGTGCTTGTATGAAGCTCGGCACTCAGCTGCACACACGATGATGGATGAGCGGTTTGAATGTGGAGGCAGATGCTGACACTCGATGACGATGATCCGTGTGCACAGGTATCCCGAGCAAAGTCGGTTAACAAAATGAAAGCAAATCGATATTAAAGTGTGCAGTTCCTATCATAATGAAAACTCATTTTGATTTCAAATGTTGCGACATAAGTCTGATATCATATTGTGCTTTCATTATGCAGTCCAGACGTTTTAAATGAAAGCAACTTAACTTGAAGTTCTGCTGTTTACGTCTTGTTTAAAATTTAATTGAAATTCATCTGTCGTTGAACTAATGATTATCGTTAATCTGATTTGTTTAACACATTTTAGGTCATTCGTGACTTGCCCGCGGTGAGATTGGAGCCTAAGTCTTTCAGCTTGAGAAACATGAATGATAACCATTTACTCTAGGCCCGTATTCAGTTAAACATTATGAATGCAAAATCAGTAATCAAATTGATTTCATTGAAAGCAGGATTAGTTTTCCGTTTGCTTCAACAGTGTAAAATTTTGCTCTCATTTTTGCTGTGTTAACCGTTAAGTCAACCAAAATGAGATCAACTGGACTATTCAAAATAAGTTACATCATAACAGCAAATTTTGATTTCAATTTGATCTTCAGCTTTGCTCGGGATGTGTGACCACGCACCGATGGTGCGCAAAATGATTTTTGATTTGATTGAAATGACAATTTTCGATGATGCCGAAAACACACTTTCTTCTCAGAAAAAAACTCACTTTTTGATAAATTTATCGGGAATTATGCCAGGAATCACTAAGCGAGAAAAACTGATTATTTACGTCAGATAATAGCGAGAAAACTTCCAAATTAACGGAGCGCGTAACAAGTCGACCGTACTTCCGCAGTGGTGTGTGAGAAGGTGTTTGTCACAATTGATTCCTGATCGGTCAGAAATAAGTCTGCTGGAATAGTAGGTTTATTTGAAAATTTCCTATCAGTCAAATTTAAGTGAAAATTCACCAAATGGAACACAGCCTTAGTTGAACTATTGTATTCCTTTTTTCCATTTATTTATTCATTTATTTTGTCACGCAGTTTTGGGAAGTAAGGGTTAACCCTTACTTGTTAGTTAATACACAGACAAACAGACATAGCACATTGTATACTTCTCTCTGTAAAACATCGTCGCTAAAACATTACCGCCATCTGTTGAGCATGCTTTGGTGGGAATTGACTATGAGCGCCACAGGTGGTGGTACTACCAATCACGATACTTTTAAATTGTCCTTTAATTGCTTGTTCGATGAACCACTTGCGAGGGTTATGTCTGTTTGTCTGTGGTTAATATTTACTCAAATAGTTCATTAAGTTTACGTTTCTTTTTCGTGGTTTTGAAGTTAACGTGGTTTTTATTTTCTTTATTTTATTTTATCTGATTTAATTTAATCAACTTTTTTGCTTCGTACGTATCACCCATGTGAGAAGCGGCGTCAGAGTGAAATTGTTCCAGTCTTGAAATTATGAACCTCGTGAAATGTTAGTGTTATTTTGCAACAATTTTGTCAACTTAAAAGCGGTGGTGGCCTTAATCTATCCTTATCCCTTCATATGGTGAGCATGTAGTCTGCATTAAGGCTGTGTTCCATTTGGTGAATTTTAAATATATCTTTACATTTTCAAAGATGCACACATATTTGAGTCTAATGGCTGCAAAAATATATAGATTTTTTTTATTATTCATTTGGTTCAACACTTTTGCAATACTGCATCACACATGTACAACGTTTGAATTTGGCGTGATCTAGTGGCGATTTGCTTTTCTTTAGATCAAGACGATGAAGTTTTGAAGAAGACAACGATCATAAATCACAGGGAAGAAAAAAGTTGGTCACTGTATTACACCTGGGAAACTAGTGTGAAACTGGATATCAAGAGATCGGGCCATTCCTTGAATTTCTGTAAAGAGCTGGCAAATAACAGAAAACAATTTCAAAACACCACCTACATTGCCACTACAATGGTTGAATCTCTGTACGAAGCGAGCGATGGAACAGTATCAGACGATAGCAGCAGCAATGACCTTTACCCAACGAAATTTGAGAGATTCCCTGATGAGGAAATAAACGCCATGCTGCGATTTTCATCGGACTCATCGTCAGACCTATAGACGGCGACATCATCAAGAGCGCCAACAACAACATCACGGTAAAGTCAGGCATCATAAATAATCAGGTAATTTCTTACTAATTTTACCTAACTCGAATTAACCACCTTAAGTTACAGCTATCTAAGGATCGACACACATCCCCCCTCCCTTGTATCTTCCTTTATGGCAGCTAATATATTAATATTGAGATGGAGTCTTGCCGATACGTTGATGTTACTAAGGCTCACTCTGTTTCACATTCGTGGATTACACAGGACTTATTTAACCTGCTGGTAAAGATGCTGTCTATTGGTATAGCATGTACGGTGCATAAAAGTATCGGAGACCTGGCCCTTGAACCCCTTCTATACTACACAATCACAATCTGTCAAATGTAAGTGAAATCCACCAAATGGAACACAGCCTAAGAGGCTGAATTTATAAAGAGACGACATGTCAAATTTGCAACAATAGATTATCTGCCAAAGTCATAGGAAAAGTTTTTTTTCCAAACGAGCAGAAGACCTGTCAAATGGATAAGATGTAGCCTCTTACCGAAGACAACAAATCAAGAAGACTGGCAACTCTTCCATTTTCTCAAACGAACGCTATGAGACAGGTAAAATCGCGTCATCTGCCGCTCAAAGGTAAATGCTTCGAACGAATTTTATTGCAAAGATTACATTCTCAGAAGAAAGGTTTGAGTATTTGCTCATTTTTCTATGCGTTGCTACCATCTTCACTCAAGCGCAGCGCCATTGTATCTGTCGCTTGGATTCTGGCAAAGTTGCCAGTCTTCTTAATTTGTTGTCTTCGCTCTTACCCAATTCAGTCTCTTTCGCATGCATGTTACGAGTCATCCATTACCCTTCCTTTATTATCGGTCTTGAATTGACTTGAACTCTTACTCACCCACCCTGCGCTGCAAAATGAAAATGTTCGTACAGCAAACAATTTAAAAGGTCTCAAATATTGTTTCCTGAGCAAACATTACACTAGTTTTTTGAAGTATATTCTAAATATTTTTTACAGCAATTAATGTTTTTCAAACAATATTTTGTTTACACTGTAATGAGGATCCTAGAGTCAATTCGTTAGAAATATGTTTAACGGAAATTATTCCATTTGCACCATATTATGTTTTGGGGTGAGATCATAGGGATCGACCCAAATTTGAGTTCAGTTTACTCATAAATCGCAAAAAATGCAGGAACTCAGCGCTGAGTTCCTTCTAGTCTAAGTAAATTTTTCGTAAATTTTCCTCTTTTTTCCGGCAGATTTTTGAGGTTTGCCACGGGAAAACATTAGGCAAATTTCTCATCGCTGAGCTCGAGGCTTAGCTGCACTTTCTGCGATTTATGAGTAAATTAAACTCAAACTTGGGTTAATCTCATTGGCCGTATATAAGCTACAATCTATACACAATATAGGGTAAAAAGCTCTCAAATTAATCTATGACTCTAAAGATCAGTCCCAATGCAATGTTTTTATCAAGGAAGTCTAAAGAGTCAATCAAACGAACTTCGATATCATATATGTATACACAATTAAATAAACATACCAGCAAATACCAACTTGTTCTTCTCGCAATGCATATCGCGTTCATTGTGTTCAGCCTCCTGATAAGTTCAGAAGAAGCATGTCCACCAGAGGGCATATCTTCAATCAGCTGACTGACAGTGACCGTCCTGTCACTATAAGTACGTACAACAATCATAATCTAAAAACCGGACAGTTCCATCGGTTCCTTCTAACAAAAACATCTAAATAAACCACAGCAAAAATAGAAATGTGTGCGAAGAAGAAATGAATGCCAGAACACAGAGGCATCAGTGTCGTGTATTAGATTAGCTTAGGTAAAACTGATGGAAAAAAAAAATCACCCAAACGCTGCTGAACTAGATTGAGAGGCAGTCATCACTCAGTGATTTTTATATTGAGTCGCTTTATTTGTGCGATGACAATACGCGTTGGAGTTGCAACGATTTAAGGAAACACAATACTTCGTGGTTTTGCATGTTTATTTTACTGTACGACTGCATCAGTCTTGGATTTGCTTCTGCTGAGTTTTCTGCCTCAACGCGTCAAGTTCAAGTTCATTGATGTATTTTCACATTTGATTACTATTTTAATAAAACCATGGAGAAAGAAAGGTATGTTTGTGTAGGTAGCACTTCACATTTGTTTTGTACTAATTATGAGTTTATTTTTCGTAGATTTTCGCTTTTGCTACTGGAACCCGGAGAGATCTACTTTGAGGATTTCTCGGTTGATTTACTGCAGGCAGATGATAGAAACCATTCAAGCGAATTCCCAATCACATCCACCTCGTCATCGCCATCATCATCATCAATAACGCAGTCAGTGATCGGTCGGCTGAAGATGTGCTCCAAGTCGGTGGTATTCGAAGCCAAGGATAACCTTCGGCTACCGTTGATCAAAATAGCCTACAAAGATTGTCTGCAGATTCGACGATGGGAACCGACCAGCATCAAAGCCATGGAATACAACGTATTGGCCATCGAGTGCTCGCAGTATACGGAAATGCTGAACAACAATGTGGTCCAACCTTATCACTTTTGCCAGCATAGGCGCTTCTTCCTATTCAATTTTCACTATGCCAAACTGGAGGACTACATCCAACAGCTGTGTCAGCTTCACCGAGCTTCGACCTTGCATGCTTACGAGCAGAATAGTATGGTAAGTAATACCATTGGGAGGAGTACTACATGATATGCTTATCGTAACCTTGCATTTTTGTCCAAACTCAAACAAATGAGCGAACGAGTTTTGACGGTTACGGTGAGCGATGATAACGATGATTTCCGGTGTTATCATCAATCAGCCTTCACTTGAAGATTGAAATTCTTACTGTTGTGGAATGGATTTATATTTTTATTTTGGGGATATGGGGGTAAAATGGCCATGCTAAAGGGAGGTTCCCGTTTCATCTATCAAAGTGAATCTATATTTCTTTAATGAGGATATTGACTAGATATTGGTATGCTTAACGAAAATTGATCGAATATTTGTTTAAATTGGTTAAGTTGAAAAGGCCTCCAGAAACCTGTTTTCAAAGCACTTAGAGGCAAAATTTTCATACTGATTTCATGCCACGGAAGCATATATTTGGGCTTTATCATTGCTCTTTCTCTATTGAATATCAAAGGTTCTCGCCTGATGGTTATGCTTTCCACACTACAGCTCTGGGAGCGCACTTGTAGTAACAAATTTTAACGTTGCAAACTACTATTGAGCCGAAAGCCGAAACAACAATCACATTTTTAATTTTGACAATATTCAGCGATACCAACTGTTTCAAAACATTAATATTTTCGCATGGTTTTGTGCCAATATTGTTTTTCAAGTTTATAAATTTCAAATTACTTTCTTCTATAAGTTGTTTCCATTCATATAGCACGTTTAAAGTTTAACGGATGGCACCAATTTTCCGACATCATATTAACTACCAGCAGAGATAGAAGGGAAGCGCATTTTGCCCGTTATGGGCATTTTACCCTCATTTCCCCTACGCCTTTATGACTAATGGTAATTCTCATTGAATGTTTTTTTTTTCAGATTGCAACGATCGTCTTTTCTCGCCATAATCGTGTGAGATTCAATCCGCTTTGGTTGGATAATCTCTACGAGAAGATTATGCTCGACTATCAGGTGGACGAAATTAATCCACTGGTGGTGAATCCCGGCCGGCTGCTGCTGACGAATGTGTTTCTTTACTTTCAACCATATAATAACATTCAAACGGTGAGTCATCGTCATTGCATTTATGTGTACCGGTCTGTAGCTTGAGATCATGTCAACAATAGAATTTGACCGATGGCTATTTCCCAAAAAAAAAAATCGTGTTTCCCTTCTAAAACAATTTGAATGCTGTTTAAAATGAAATGCAAATCAGTTACACCTATCTACTGTCCCTCTGTATCTTTCCAGTATCCCGTGCTGAAAATTCGCCTAAAATCCATCAAAAGCTTTCTCAAGCGCCGTTTCCTTCTGCGTCACGTGGGTCTCGAGGTCAAATGGACCCAAGGAGATCAAGAAAGACTGCTCTATGTATCGTTCCGCAATCAATCGGAGCGGGACGACTTCTACGCCAATGTAGCCGAACAGGAAGACTTCTCCGTCGTCGAACAAATCCCAGAGAGCATAACCCTCAAATGGCAGAACGGTCTCATCTCCAACTACGAATACCTACTCTACCTGAACAGCTTAGCCGACCGGACGTATCAAGATCTAACGCAATATCCAGTTTTCCCGTGGGTGATTTCCGACTACAGCTCCGATTGGTTGGATTTGAGCAATCCGAACATCTATAGAGATCTGACCAAACCGATCGGAGCGCTGAACGAGGAAAGATTGCAAAGACTGAAGGAACGCTGCGAGGAGATGGGCGAAAACAAGTTTCTCTACGGATCGCACTATTCCGCTCCGGGGTTGGTCTTGTTCTATTTGGTAAGAAAGTATCCCAAATTGATGCTTTGCTTGCAGAATGGAAGGTTTGACCATCCAGATCGGATGTTCAACAAGGTCGAAGACGTGTACAGTAACTGCCTGAACAATATGGCCGATTTTAAGGAACTGATTCCGGAGTTTTACGACACGGAGACGAAGGGCGATTTCCTGCTGAACAGAATGAAGATAAACTTTGGACAAAGGTTTGACGGGACACCGGTCAATCATGTGGTCCTGCCAAAGTGGGCCGATGGGTGTCCGGAAAAATTTGTCACAATGCTGCGGGAAGCGTTGGAGTCGGATTATGTGAGCAGCCGGTTGCATCATTGGATTGACATGATCTTTGGGTACAAGCAGCGAGGCGAGGAAGCGTTGAAGGCAGATAATTGTAAGTTCGGTTCGGTCTGTTTTTTGGGATTATCAATCAATAAGTGTATTTTTGTCATCGACAGTATTCTACTACCTCTGCTATGAAGGTTCGGTGGATTTGGATCAGATAAAGGACCTATCCGGTCGGCACGCCCTGGAAGTTCAAATCTCCGAATTCGGTCAAATACCTAAGCAATTATTCCGAACGCCACACGTTTCGAAACTGCTCAACATTGATGCTCCCCTTGGATGTCCTCGTACGCTATCCATGGACGGGGAGCTCCGTATCGCTATGGATGCTCAATATTTTTCGCATAAGGATGAAATTACCTCAATGCTGCTCGATGAGACAACGAAACATATCTTTACGACAAGCAAAGACGGCACATTCAAATGTTACAGCTTGGTTGAGCAAAGACAAATCCGAAGTGTGCAGATAAGCGATATGCCTCTTAGTGCAATACGACTGACTAACGGGAAGTCGGTCATTCTGGGTTGTTGGGACAATAGCATGTAAGTATTCCGAAGTTTTATTTGCAGATGCGTGATGTGAATGGCATTATTTTTCCAATCAGAATAATCTACAACTTAGACTACGGGAAGATCTCTCAGGTGATTGCAGCTCATGACGATGCCGTGTCCTGTCTGTCCAGCGTGAAAGGAAGTGAAATCTTAGTTTCGGGTAGTTGGGACTGTAGTGTCAAGTAAGTAGACTTCTTTGCTTCTCATTTGTTCCAGCCGCTTATGCCGGTCCTTTTTTTCAGAATCTGGAACAATTTCCACATCGATTCCGTGATCGGGTACCTGCCGTTAGAGGACAAAATCGTGTGCATGGATACTTTTCACTCGGAATGCAGTCTCCGAGTGGCGATTGGCACCTCCTGTGGAGAACTGTTCCTCTGGAAGGTGGGCTTGACTCGATGCAACAGTGCTCAAAGTTTACCAGATGTTGAAACTCAAGAACACAAACTATTGCTGCAGCATAAGGATGCGGTCTGTGTAGTGCGGTTCAATCGGAATTGTTCGCTGATTGCGAGTTGTGGAGAGGATCGAATGTTCAATATCGTGGACATCGAGACGGGAATGGTGATATTTAAGCGAGAGATGCCTGCGGCGATCAGGAGCCTTTGCTGGGCAAAGGACGACAAATATCTTCTGATGGGCGATCGCAGTGGGATGATGTACGTGTGGAATATGCTTGAGGGAATGATCCAGAAGGAAGTGCAAGTGCATTCCGGTAAGTAAAATGCTCAAAATTTCTTAATTGCAGCTGAAACTTCAATGACAATTTGTGATTTAGATTGCATTTATTGCATCGGATGTACCGAGAACAGCCAAATTGTGACAAGTGGTAAAGATGACCGGGACTATTGTGTCAAAATATGGAAGAGCAATCTGTGAGAACGGAATTGTGTTTCTTTTTTTTAATTCTATGAGGTATGTACTCTGAAAGTTCTACGTTTCTTTCTTTTTTGTTAGTGATATTCTTGTAATTGCCGAAATGACGGTTTTATTTACTTTTACGTGTTTCAACCAATAATTAAACATGAATCTCGTGATATAGCGTATAGCGGTGTATAGCATCCTGGGTGTTATGTGTTATAGAGAAATGTCCTTTAGTCTTATTCAGATTAAACCAAGAAGTTTCTACAACGACTTAAGCTATTGGAAATTCCAAGTAAACTAACCGCAAAACCTTGAAGCAGCGTGGCCAGATGAGCAAGAGCTGGTTAATAAAGAGGGAAATACTATATAGCGGCTGTAGGAAATACGCCCTTCTACACTGGTGAAAATTAATATAAGGACACTTTAAAAAGCATGGCTCCTTCCAATTTTAAGAATCAGAGGAATTCTAAATCATGTGTGTATATAAGCCACATCATGCTACAATTTAAGCCTAATAAAGAGCCAATTGTATCATGTACATACAGAGTGTCTGCAAATTATCCGTACATAATTTGACAGCATGCCTCTATACAACCTAACGGATTACACTAAGTATGCTTATGTATATGGTTTAATATCTTGACCTATTCTGCCGCTCTTCGCATGTCGGTCCCAAAGCAAGTTTTATCAAAACTGAGTTTTATAATGCAAATGGTAGCTGATCAACCATATTTTCATAATACTGGATGAACTCATAAACTTTGTTCTGAAAAAGTTTGGAAAAACAGCCAAATTGGTTGTCTCATCACATAAGAAGCAATGGTACGAATCAAGCTTAAAATGCGATTTTCTCGGCTTGCTGATTTTTGCCATGGGACCGACATGCGAAGAGCGGCAGTATTGTCGTTATATGCAGTAAGTTTGGTAAAGTTGTAATTTCAAATTCTTGCTAAATAAAGCCGAATAGTTCGCGCGGAGCTGTTGTTGAACTTTTTCGTCAAAAAATGTAGAAGGCTCTGTGCCTAGGGGCACGAACAACGGAAGCTTGACGTAGGACCCCTAGTGGACGGAACAATTGTAAATAGCATTTAGTTCTTTTAATTGATCAATCATCAATTATCTTAACTCTTTCCGTTTTTTATTTGTAAGCGTATCAAATTTGTAGTATTTTTTCAAAGAGAAAGTTGATGAAGAGAATCAATCGAAATCACTTGCACCCCTGCTTCCAAGTTTGATTACAAGATTACAACTCGAAAGAGCATTTTGTGTGGTCGTTGGGGCCCTGTGGTTCTGAATATGGACAAACAGGCACAGATAAATTATTTTCCAACTCGTTACTGCTATAAGCTTGTTGGCCCTGAAAAGGGCAGTTTTATTGTAGACGACATCCATGGCCGTTTACGCTTGGCGTGTTCAGAGTAGGTGATAGCATCACGGATCACATTTTCCAGGAACACCTTCAGCACACCTTGTGTTTTCTCGTAGATCAGACTGGAGATACGTTTGACACCAACACGGCGAGCCAGACGACGGATGGTGGTCTCGAAGAACTTTGCGATGACTTGTTGGATGTAGAAGAGTGGACTAGCCACACCCTTCCTACTGCTGCTATTGCTGACCTTCACGCCGTCCGAAGTGAAATGAGTTGATGCTTTTTTTGACTTTGAATGATCTATATTTCTTGTATTTGTTTGGTTTACATGTATGAATTTTCAAGTGACACAGATGCGTCTTTTTAACTTTAGTTATTTTGAAATTTTTAATTATTACTTACAGTTACTAGTCCTATCAGGCCTGTTAAAGTATGACCACCTTAGTGGGATTGGTTTGTTTTGAATTGGAAAAAAGAGACTACTTAAAACTACTATTTACAGCTACAACTAATCTACAACTACTATATACACCTAACCTACTATATACAAATTGCTTATCAAAGCATGTTCTGATGTATTGCATTTTTGCACAAATTTGTTCCTAGTTTCGTTAATTTGAAAATCTACTTTCGGAATGTTAGCCTCTTGATGGAGGTCGGAAATGCGGGTATCGAAAGGACGATCAAGGATCATCCTCAATACCCTGTTCTGCGCTACCTGTATTTTGTTCCTGTGAGTTTGTGCACATGATTCCCACACCGGAGCTGCGTAGAAGATCGCAGGCGCAATGATTTGTTTGAAGACAGCCAGTTTGTTCACCCTAGAGAGACGAGATCTGCGGCAAATAAGCGGATACAAGCACCTAACTAGATTGGAACACTTAACTACTGCCCTATCTATGTGCGAGCGGAAAAGGAGCTTTTCGTCAAATAACATACCAAGATATGTTACTTCGCTGGACCTCTCAACCCTTGTGCCATCCATTATTACAGTACAAGAGGGAGCCGGTTTTAGTTTGGGAGATTGTCGATGGAGAAACATTATTGATTGGGTTTTGGAGGCATTGATTTTGATTTTCCACGTGTTGGCATAAAAAGCAAAGGCGTCAAGGCATCGTTGAAGTTTGTTTGTTATTTCACGAGGCCTCCTTCCCTTGACGGTTATAGCGGTATCATCTGCGAACAGGAAGAACACGCAACCGTTGCCCAAGGGAGGAATGTCGGAAGTGTAGATGCTGTATAGCAAAGGGCCCAACAGGCTACCTTGCGGAACACCTGCTGGGATGGAAAAGGTGTTTGAATTGCAACCATTCAACGATACCTTAAACGACCTTTGCTGGAGGTAGTTACGGGTGATTTTTACAAGATGTGGTGGAAAGTTGAAGTTACAAAGCTTGTACACAAGTCCGTCATGCCAAACATTGTCAAACGCCTTTTCAACGCCTAGCAATGCCATGGCTGTGGACTTGGATACAGCTTTGTTACTTCGAATGTTATTCATCACCCGAACTAGCTGATGATTTGTGGAATGCCCCTTCCTAAACCCAAACTGTTCAGGTAGGAGAATGTTGTTCTCCTCGACAAACTTGAGCAAACGATTGAGAATTAGTTTCTCGAACAATTTGCTCAGCGCTGAAAGGAGGCTGATTGGTCTATAGCTGGAAAGTAGTGATGGATCTTTACCGGGTTTGCGTATTGGTATGATTTTTGCTATCTTCCAGATACTTGGAAAGTAGTGCAGTTCCAAGCATCTGTTGAAGATAGCATTCAAAAGCGAGTACACTTTCGTGCTCAGCTTCTTCAATACCAAGTTGAATATACCGTCAAACCCGGGAGCCTTCATGTTCTTGGTGTTTTTCAGCGCTGAGCAAATCTGCTCCACTGTAATATTTTCTGCCGGAGGGACGACACAAGCGGAGGCATCCAAGTTTTGTACGCATTGCGTCACCTGATTTTCGAGCGGACTTTGGATAGTTGAGCCAAGCAAATGCGATGTAGCAATATGATTACCAATCGCATTTGCTTTCTCTTGTGGGGTAATGAGCCGATTGTCATCATTTCCGACTCTGAGAGGAGGAATGGGTTTGGGATGAGTTTTCAGCACCTTGGCTACCTTCCAGAATGGACGGGAGCGGTCATCCAGATTCTGGACAACACGCCCGAAACTTTCATTTCGGAGAGAGTCCATTCTGGAAGCAATCTGCCTGTTCAGATCGGCCATTTCATGTTTTTTGCTCAGATCTCCAGTCCTCTGAAACTGACGTCTGCGCACATTTCTCAAGCGAATCAGTAACTGGGTGTGGGAATCAATAGCAACAAACTTACCCCTCACAGGAACTTGTCGAACGCATGTCTCGTCAGCCATGGATATGGCCTGGTGGAGTCCTTCCAGAGCCCGGTCGATGTCCTCTACGGTGTCAAGCGGCGGATTTTCGTTGATGTTCAGGTCTACCACACGTCCAAACTAAACCCAGTTTACGTCGTGGTAGTCTTTTCGTAGGATTGGAGCAGGAGCTATGTTGATGCCGACCTCAGCCACCACCGGTTGGTGATCGGAGCTTAAGTCGTTGATTGCCACCGGCTTGGATAGCCCGAAGTTCGTCAGGAAGAAGTCCAGCGTGGAAGGTTTTCCCGCCGGAGAGATGAATGTCGGTTCATCCGGAAATTGCACTGTATACAGCCCATGCTGCGAGTGGTCGAAGAGCAGACGTCCATTCTGATTCCGCTGATAGTTCCGCCATGCTTCGTGGCGGGCATTTAGATCGCCCCCAATGACGAATCGTGAGCTCGTGCGAGTGATAGCGGTGAGGTCGTTCTTGAATTTCATCCTTAGTCCGTTGCTGGCAGCACACTCACGAGGGCAGTATACGGCGATGAACCGGACGTTTCCGGTTGATGATTCCACCTCCACACTAAGGGCCTCGATGATAGAAGTGCGGATATGCGGCAGCGTGTAGAACTTTATTCCTTTCTTGATGATGATCGCAACACCACCCCCCCTGGAGTCGATACGATCAAGCCGGATAATGTGGTGATCAGGTAGCCAAAAACTGTCACCGGATTTAAGGTGGGTCTCTGTTAGGAGGCCCACGTCGATACTTTGCTTGCGGAGGAAGACAGCAAGCTCGAGTCTTTTTGCTCTTACAGAGCATGCGTTCCATGTGACGACAGTTATCGGTTTAGACACCATACTGAATAATAAACTTACCGAGCACTTGGATCTGTTCGGGCTTGCTGCGGCACTGACGAAGAGCATCGGTCATGTCGACGAAAATCTTCATCAGCTCATCCGCAGAGAAGAGATCGGGATTGGCGTTTTGTGCTGGTGGTTGTCTCCAGAATCCAGGGGTAGATGGAGAGCTTTGTCCAGCTGAGGCACCAGACGTTTCTTGACGGGGACCGGGGAGCGGATGGCCTTCAACGCATTGAGCGTCACAGTTCCCTTCTGGAAATGCACCAGGAAAAGGTAATCCGGATACTTCTTCACGTTCTCGTCCCTCCTTGTCATCCGGAAGACGGCAGTTGGGGCCAGCTTGTAGCGGTTCTTGATTTCCGCTTCGATCAACTTCGGGTCAAAGTTTGGTAGACCCCTGATGACGACCTTGAATGGTTTCTCACCGGGAATGTCATGGGTGAAGAATTCCACCTTGGAAGTCCTCAGGTGGGCGATGACCAGGTCATACTCCGCTTTCGTACGGAGCACCATCTTGGTGCCGACTCTGCCCAACTTGAATTCGGCTTTGACGCCCAGTGACGCCAGATCCGCGATGAGCTCGTTAAGATGGGCATTTTTCACTACCAGCGGAGGTAGCTTCACTTTTGCCGCGCACCTTTCAGCAGCATTTTCTATTTCGGCAGCGTCGCCGAAATCTTCGTTTGTCGCAGAGGCATCCTCGCGATCAATTGTGCCATCGGACTGGCCCCGATTCTTCTTCCTCTTCTTGCTGCGTTTTTCCATCACAGCTGGTTGGATATTCCCATCCATGGGGAGAACAGCAAATCTGTTGGATGTAGATACACCCGAACTTCCTTCACCGGGGTTCTTGTCCTTCACCGGGCTTCGCGAGCGATGCTTCCCCATATCGGGGCACGCACACACACAAAAAACACCTCGAAAGATAGAGAGCGCGAACACTTCACCACGAACTTTTCGAACAACTCGTCAGAGCGAGCAAGAGCCGAACTATATTGCTTGACGATCAAGCAGAGAATGACCACGATGAGTTGATGCTAGACAGCAGCGCTGTTTTATATCTTTTCAGGTTAAAGCAGAATGATGTGCAATGTGTGTGTATAAAAGCTACAAAGACTTCTCGCATTATGTTTGCTATCAAGTAGCGACACTGGCTCCTTTCCTTTTGCGTAGTTTACCAATGGCAACACCTTGAAAGTTAGCGGCGCCGATGGTATAGTGGTAAGCGTGATTACCTCTCACCCCAGCAGGCCTGGGTTCAATCTCAGTCGGCGTCACCGGCATGTTCTGAGGCATAACATCTCTGATCACGCCTTCCTTCGGGAAGTAAAGCCGTTAGTCCCTGGTTGAGTTGATGGGTCGATAGGTAGGGTCCAGGTGTAGGAGCTGCCTCCCTGGCGTCGGTAGCATTGGTGCTCAGCACGGAAAACAAATCTCGCGTCACTTTTCAATAAGTTCTATCTACATTGATCGATTCTCTCCATCGACTCTCTCTTTCGAAAATGCTCGGCTTCAAAAATTGCCGTCTTCGCCGAATTAGATGCTAGATTGTTGCTTATTCCATCGAAAGTATCCAGCCGTGGCGATTCAAAGAGAAAGTTGATGAAGGGAATTGATCAAAGTCATTTGTCCAAGCTTGTTTACATGAACATTTTGTGTGGTCGTTGGGGGCGTGTGGTTCTGAATATGGACAAACAGGCAGATGAATTCTTTTCTTACTCTTTACTGTAATAAGCTTGGTGGCCCTGAAAAGGGCCGTTTTGTTGCCAAAGTCGGTGATGATTTAACCTCCAAAACCGCACAGAGTGTGTCTCTGTCGCTTCAAAGCGTAGATGACATCCATGGCCGCTTACGCTTGGTGTGTTTAGTGTAGGTGACAGCATCACGGATCTCATTTTCCAGGAACACCATCAGCACACCTCGTAGATCAGACCGGAGAAACGTTTGACTCCGCCATGCTTGGCATACACAGTTGTACACACCAACTGCTCATTTGTTAATAACTTTTTACTCAGTTGTTGAAATTTGTTTTTCTTTAAATTAATTGATAGATTAGGATCATAGCTTACTATAGATATGCAAAAAGTAGATAAATCTTAACATTTGAATCAACACCAATGAATTTTTACTATTAAAGTTCGAGATGTGCAGTGAGCATTTCTCACTTCATTTTTACAACGTAAAAACAAATACAGTTTATTACTTGAATTAAAATCTACTTTGTTTTATGTATCTATAACAAGCTTAAACTCTATTCTATCTACTGCTTCAAAAAGAACTATGTTTCGTCAACTCTTTGCAAAGTTATTAGCAAATGAGCAGTTCGTGACCAAAACTGTGTATACCAAGCATGGACACCGCCACGGCGAGCCAGACGACGGATGGTGGTTATCTCGAAGAACTTTGCGATGACGCTTGGCACCTTTTCCTCCTTTGCCACGACCAGTCAATTGTTGCTTGTTGGGTGTGGAAGAGTGGACTAGCCTACTGAACTAGCCTACTAGAAGACCTTCCTACTGCTGCTATTACTGATCACCGAAGCGAAAATGAGCTGTTGCCATACAGCAGCGCTGTTTTATATCTTTTCAGGTTAAAGCACAATGATGTGCAACAAAGTGGTACTCGATTATGAGGACTGGGTTTGGGAAGAACGTTTAACAGTGATAACAATTAACACTTTTTATTTGTACATTGGACAATGTTTGACATTACCACTTTTTCAATAGCTTCTCGTTCAAAATCATCAGTCGGAAGCCTTGATATAGATGCGTAGAAATATTTCTGATCGATTGGTGATAAAATTATTGAAATTGGTCCAGGGGCAGCTGAGTTATTAATGTTCAAAATCTTTCATAATTTTGTTTCATGTTTCATTTTCGGTTTTCCCAAAGTGTACCCCCAGTATAGAAATGAAAGACGTAGTCCTACGTCCAAACTTATTGTTATAGAGCTACAGTCAAGATTCCTGTAGTACGGTTAATAGGGACCGCTCAATAGGAACCGGCATTAACGAATACACGTAGCATATAGGATTAGAGCTAATTGGGGACAAACACTTATTGTAGGGTAATTTTAAGAGATAACTTCCTGGTGTCTTCTGAAAAATTATTAACAAGATAGATAACCTCCTTTTGGGGAAATTTTGCATTCGGAACACCCAAAAGTGGTCAATTCTTGAAACTGATCCTAGAGCTCCGCGGTTTTTTTCAAAACCACTCTATAGATGTCTTATTAGAATTAATTCAACGTTGTGACCAGAATATAGACCCTGGTGACCACGGGATGGCCCACCGGAAGATTTGAACACCCGTGTGCTGGCTGTTTTGTTTTGCTCTGGACGATGTTTTTGCAAAAAAATATACTGTTGCCATCTCTGGTCTCACACTTCTCAGTTAATCGTCAATCGCGACAGAGTAGAAGCAACAATCAATACGAAACTAACGATTTCAAATTAGCTCACTACTTGACTAGCTTATTGGTCCCAAGCAAATCGATTAACGTACCCCATTCTAGTATAAATTCCAGTACTACACTATGTTTGTTTTGATTCGCTATGAAAGTTTGACAGATAAAATGAAGGGTTAGTGGATTTTCCTAAGTTTCGAGGGGTGAATCGATTAGCTTGGGACCGAAGGTAGTACCAGAGCTGAGCCAAAAAATTGAGCTCGTTTCTTCGGGACCTTCTGGTCATAGAGTTACCTCTATGGTAGAAGATGATTCCAAATACCGGACTGTTCAAAATTATTAAAACCACTTTGCCGTTTCTTTTCCATGGATGTTGTTTGGAACATTTATTTCTTTTACCATCATCATCGTCATCAGTAGATAGGATCGTCATCAGCATCAGCATTATTAATCTTATGTACTCATTATCATCAGCATTGGTCATCATCAGGTGTTACAATGTTTAACTTATTTTAGGAAAGCCTAGGTCAACTCACTAACATAAAACCATTTGGTGATTCCGGTTCCGCCTTACGAACTATTACATAAATCTTCAACTATCCTTACAAAACTCGCTACAACAAGGGTAATAAAGCATTTAAACATTTTAATAATCATTCACGCATAAAAAAGAAGAGGAACTGTTGATTGCTTAAAGTAATACGAATACATGATTGATTTATGATTAAGTGAAACGAAAACTGTTTGTGTCATTCTATAAAATATCAAAGTAGTTGTCTATGTGATCGATAAATGTAAAAATTACTAGTTACGCAGAAGCCGAAACGCAGAGAAAAAAATTATGATTATTATGATTATTTGCGTTCTATTCTTGGTCGTCGCCGTCCTCCGTGTGATTCGTTCGTCTGGAGGAAGCTAATGTCTTGTTCAGACTACAGAGTTACAACATGTTATAATAATTATCGACAAGAATAGACTTATAACATGTTAGAACTGCTCAGTCTGGCCAGTGTTTAATCGAGCGTTTTAACAATAGAGTCATTTCCTAATGCGAAACAAGTATGTCTGATAGATAGAAGAAAAATATGGCTCTCGTGTGGTTTGAGACACTTTGTAGAGAATCCGTCTTTGTTCGACCTTCGTTCCTTCCTCGATTTTGAACAGTTTTACGGGCGCGGTTTGATCGTCTTGGAAGCGGGCGGCGGAATCTTGCTAAAACCGGCAGCGTCGAACACTGGGAGCAGTTCCCGAACACGCCCTGGTATGCTGCCGTCGATCATGCGACTGCGAAAAGCAGAGACAGTAAGATTGGCGTATAAAAAATAATAATGACAGACAATAATGATCATCATTGGGATCAGTTCAAGCGTGAAAAGGTTTTCGCTTGGGGCATGATCTACCACAATTAGCTCATGGCGTACTAGTACCTTCCTTTCTTGGTGGCAATCTTGGCGGCATGTGCTGGAAGGGTCGACTCCGTCGGGAAGAAGGTGGCACCGTAAAAGTCGAGCCCGTTCTGCAGGAGATGGTGATACTCGTCGATGGAGGCCAGGGTGATACGGATCGGTGGCGGCGGAGATTCCCGCTGCAGGGCCACGTCCTGTTCGTCGATTGGTTTCGCGGTGGATAGTTTGGGCATCTGAGGCTTTGGAGGAGCGGTGCCTGGTAGGGTGAGAAAGAAGAGTATTAGACCATTTATTTTTGCTGGTGATGTGTCCTGGTAACAGCTCTAAAATGTATCATTTGCTATAAAGTATGATCAGGTGCATAGTAAATTATCAACAATAATCTGAAATTCAGAACCTTTACCGCTCCTCTCAGCGGTCATTACCTGCACCTAATTTGTATGCATAGCATAACTGTAAAGTATATTGGAAACACCCTTAAGGTGGAAAGGACTCCCAGAGCCATGATGCCATGACATTTCGCAGAAGGTATTAAAGTAAGGATTGTACTGAACCCTTTATGCAATATTTCCATCCCTCCAAATTTTGAATGCTTATTATAGCTTATACAGCCTAAAATAGGCCTGTTCAGTGAAAAATAAGCTAATTCAGCTTTTAGTCAGCTAAATTGTGTTTTGCGATTTCAACACCCACTAATCTGAACGACACTTTATACATATTAACTAGGATCATTTTTCATTTGAACTTCTAGTAACCCTATGAGCATAAAAAAAAGCTTGGTTCTGGTAGCCTTATTTGCTGTTTTGTTTTTGTTCTGATAGCATCTGCAATAGTATAAAAAACTGAATATTTGACTCGGCCTTCTCCGATTTGCATATCATTTGGCATAACTATCTGCTAGGGGCAATTATTCACATTTCCTGATATATTTCAAAAGGTTTTTGGCAACATCGATGAAGGAAATTTTCATCTAGCATCCAGAACATCATATTCAACGGGGATTTTTTTTTTTGCAGCTGGGTTATTAACGAAAGAGAAAGTCGATGCAGTGAATTGATCAAAGTAGATACGACCCTTTGAATTATTTGTCTAGGTTTGTGCCATTTTTTAATAAATTGTAGCATGAAAACTTCATTTCTAATCGAAATGACGTCTAAGACAAAGTTGTAGCAACCGGTGGAAGCTAACGATTTTAAATTGACTCACTACTTGACTAGCCTATTGGTCCTTAGCAAATCAATTAACGTACCCCATTCTAGTCGAAATTCTAGTGCTGAGCCAAAAACTTGAGCACGTTTCTTCGGGACCTTCTAGTCTTAGAGTTACCTCTATGACACTACCTAGTGCATTAGGATGTTGCAGACAAAACATTTACATTTTCAGACCACTCTGTGAGAAATTGTGTTTACACTCCTGATGGTGGTAAGCTCCAACCGGTCTTACTTTTACCTCTATGGTATTATCAACCGGTGGAAGCTAACGATTTTAAATTTGCTCACTACTTGACCTAGCCTATTGGTCCCAAGTACATCTATGAGCGTACCCCATTCTAGTCGAAATTCTAGTACTACACTTGTTTGTTTTGATTCGCTATGAAGGTTTGACAGATAAAATGAGAGGCTCGTGGATTTTCCTATGTTTCGAAGAGTGCATCGATTACCTTGGGACCGAAGATAGTACCAGAGCTGAGCCAAAAAGTTGAGCACGTTTCGTCCGGACCTTCTAGCAAAAATCAATACGAAACTATCGATTTTAAATTGGCTCACTACTTGACTAGCCTATTGGTCCCAAGCAAATCGATTAACGTACCCCATTGTAGTCGAAATTCTTGTACTACCCTATGTTTGTTTTGATTCGCTATGAAAGTTTGACAGATAAAATGAGGGGTTAGTGGATTTTCCTATGTTTCGAGGGATGCATCGATTAGTTTAGGACCGAAGAGAGTACCAGGGCTGAGCCAAAAACTTGAGAACGTTTCTTCGGGACCTTCTTGTCTTAGAGTTACCTCTATGCTATAATCATAGAGGTAACTTCAAGGCCTGAAGTTTCCGGAGAAACTTGCTCAACTTGTTCCAAGCTTATCGATTCACCCCTCGAAACATAGGAAAATCCACGAACCCCTAGTTTTATCTGTCAAACTTTCATAGTGAATCAATGAGTCGCTACAATACAGTTACCCATATCAACCAAAACCCACTGACCTGCTTGCATCTGCTCCGGGTCCTGGGAACCCGATTGCTTCTGGTACTGCACCACTAGGCGGACCACCTCGACGACCGAGTTGAAGCGGTACAACGAGTGCCGTATGTCATCGACGGGCACATCGTCCGGCACGTCAAACACGTACAACATGAACGTTTTCTGCGGCCGGCATGGAATGGCCACCTTTTTGTAGAACCGCGCGCCGGTCACCTTGTGGAAGCCCTTCTTGAACACGGCCTGGTAGTCTTCTGGATTAGAAAATTTGAACAGTATTCCAGTGGCCGTTTTCGTAAGACTAAAGCAACCTTTGAAGTTCATCTTCTCGCAGATCAGGGCCGCTCGATCCATCGAGAGCTCGTGCGAGGGCGTCAGTAGGAAGGCTCCCTTGGCCAGAAAGTTCTCGCTATCCGACACCTCGGAGTCGTCATCGTCGGTTTGGTTGCCCTGGTTGGCCCGTTTGTCATTCCACAGAACGTCCGATAGCTTAGGACTACCGGCAGATTTTGAACCGGCCGGAAGCAGATTGCTGGAACTTCGCTGCCGTCGATACTCGGTCAGGTTCTTCTCCTGCTCAACGTCCGATGCGTTCCCGATGTACGACATGGTCACGGTTATCCTTTCTTGAGTTTAATGTCCTAAATTAACGCACTCACAAGTTCTTCACCGGCTATTCCGAACGCTCCAGCAACCGAATATCCACCCAAAATCTTTCTAATTACTTCTCTCACTTCATCACCAGGCACACTGCAGCCCACTCAGCCCGATCCGCTTACGGCGTCGTATTGTTCTTGAACGTCACCTCAAGTCCTTACTATCTACTAGCTAAAACTAAGAATTTCTTCCGCGGTTCGCGACAGAAGTTCCGTTCGATAACCCGGTGCACACGGTAATGAGCGACCAGATGGTATTGATGGTACTTTTATAGCCTATCCTTGGCTTGACAACGATGATCGAACATATTTGGTCGCGATTCACTGATTTCCGCCAATCCCCTACAGAATCGGCTTACGGTGACAGAGGTGGTAAAATGATGACGTGACAAGGCTGTCGTCGTTGGTTGATTCGTTGCATATCACGCTGTAAACCTTTGAATACCGACATGAATGGCCCCTAGCGGGAATCGTTCACAAAACGTAGCACAGTAGGCGAGATATACAATCTAGCTGGACGAAATTAATAACTTCTCGGGATGACGTCGTAGTAATTTCAGGTTTTCGGCAAACCTGCTTAGCTTTACAAGCACCAACGAACCGACATGCCTCTGGAGCATTTCGTTTGTCCACAATTCGATTTGTCAAATGAGCGATTCGATTTTTCAAACGGGCGTTCAGATCTGTCAAAGAAGGTGAGACGCAACCCAGTCAATATAAATTTTACGTGTGTTCGTGTCCTTTCTCACGATATGACGGGATCGCATGAGTAGGAGACGGTAGTGTTTAACGTATTTTACATATGCCGTCTTGGGCAAGAATTTGAATGTAGCTTCTATGAGCTGGCACGTTGGTTCGTCGGTGTTACAAGGCCTACTTTGTGAATGTGAAATTTCAGTTCAGTGGACTCATGTTCAAGCAGTTCTGTATTGTATCTTTTGAACGAAGCATTTTAGCAATCGGTGAAAACTACAGATTTTAAATTGGCTCACACTGGACTAGCCTATCGGTTCCAAGTAAATCGATTAACGTACCCGATTACATAGTACATTATGTTTGTTTGATTTGCTATGAAAGTTTGACAGAAAAAAAGAGTAGATTTTCCTATGTTTCGAGGGGTGCATCGATTAGCTTGGGACCGAAGAGAGTACCAGAGCTGAGCCAAACAGTTGAGCACGTTTCTTCGGGACCTTCTGGTCTTAGAGTTACTTCCCTTTAACTTTCATTCCATTATTATATGAACCATAAAATGCTGAGTACAGAAGGGTTTACCCAATTGAAGCGAAATTGATGGGGAGAGTGGGAATGCTTACTCCCTCTATCTTTAACATTTCATGAATAGAGGGCGGGCCCTTCTTCCCACTCATTGGGGAATCCTCCTGTTGGATGGCTTGTTTCTTGACGGGTTGTATGATACTGTTGTTAGAAGGAGATTCTCAAGTATCCCGTGGATGTACGTGGGCAATGTTGGCCACGGATCTACCCAACCCGTTTGGCCCTTCATACAATGTCAGGTTGAGTACAATTTGAGGTTACTAAACTCGATCAAGCTGAACAGCGAGTTGTCTTGCTACAGTGAGTTCATATCATCATCCATTAGTAACCTTTTTCACGGGGCACCCGGACCATGTCCAGGAGTGACCAATGTATTCCCGGGCACTCAATGTGACTGGCAATGGTCTTGATTTTGGATTCTCATGTGATATGATGTACCGCATTATGCCAAAGTCGGAATTTCCCTTTGGGGTATCCGGAGCATGTCCGGATATGGCCAGTGTGTTCCTGGCTAACACTTAATATGACCACCATTGACGGTATTTTCAAAATCACATATTGTTTTGTGTGTCTGAAAATATTCCATTCGCGATTTTTTTTTTGTTTTATTAGAGAGATTATTAGCCTTGGGCTGGTTCATCTCTTAAAAACGAAGGGTGGGAACTTCATACGGGATTCCCCCTAATACAGAGCTAATAGGAAGGGTAGGCGAGGTTCCAGAAGAGAACCCCGAGGATACGTAGCTAGGGGATAGGCGGGAGCTGTCCTTTTGAATAATCGTGGCCAAGTTCCGTGTCCTGTTCTTTTGTAGTCACTGTGTTTAATTTTAGTGCCGTCATTCGTCCATTTCCGTGTCCTTGTACGTGCTTTGCTTGGTTCGATATCTTCGGTCATCCGTGTCCAAGTCATTATTTGTTGCCGCTGTATAGTTTTGAGTCCATATATTGGTCCGGATCATTGTCCGTTGTCGTTGCTTGGGTGTTCATAGATCAAATTTGGTTAATCAGATCTGCCTCCTGAAGGAAGCAGAAAAGTGCAGCGATGCTGGATGGGTCATCCCTCAGGGTATCCCTGATACTGCCTGAGATCCCGTAAAGGGAACGGGGCCCGTGGTACTGGTGGCATTCGCATAAGAAATGCTCCACTGTAAGTGGAACATTGCACGTATCGCACTGTCGTCTGAATCCGCTTCCGCCTCCCATATTGTGGGAGACTTTGGTTTGACCGGTTCTCAACCGGGATAGAATGAATAGGAGTCGGTGTTCAGGGTGATCCTCCCATTTCCTGGTATCCCCTTTTACCTTCCGGATAAATAGGTCTCGAGATTGTTGGGATGAGGTTTCACTGAATTGAAAGGCCAAGAGTTTTATGTAAAACAGTAAATTAGATTTATTCTCTTTAACGATGCACTCACGAGTTCACTTTGTTGAATAAAATGGCGCATCTCGCACAGTGGCTGGTAGACAGCTATACCCAACAAACAATTCAAAGTCACAGTTAAGCATACACATTGAATAAATGCTGTATAACAGTGTACAATGCTGAATAAAACAGGATGTCGAATTATGTGCTGAAAAAAGCTAATAGAGATCGGTAGATGCGCCTTTATTCCGCCGTTTGCTCTGATATGATTAATTTCCTTATTAAAAGCTTTATAAACGTTTACTGTCTTCCTTATTCAGAACCAAAAGTTTGATCTAATAACAAACTGAATAAGTGTAGTTTGCACATACATTGACGGTTTAATTCGACTGTTTTCAATTGATTGAATAAAATGCTTTATTAATCGTCTTATAAATGTTTTCTAGCTCCATTATTAGATTTCATTACATTGCTTTACAATATTGCTGTATAAAGGTGAATACACTCAGCAAAATAGCTCTTATACCACCCAACAAACAATTCAGTCACAAATAAGCATATATATTGAATAAATGCTGTATAACAGTGTACAATGCTGAATAAAAAGAGTTGTCGAATTATGTGCTGAAAAAGCTCATTGAGATCGATAGATGCACATTTATTGCACTGTTTGCTCTGATCTGATTAATTTACTTATTAAAAGTTGTAAAAGTGTTAAATGTCTTCCCAATTCAACGCCAGAAGTTTGATCAAATAACAAACTGAATAAGTGTAATTTGTACATACATTGACACTTTAATTCGACTGTTTTCAATTGATTTAATAACATGCTTTATTAGACGTCTAACAAATGTTCTCCAGCTCCTTTATTAGATTTCATTGCATTACTTTACAATATTGCTGAATAAAGGTGAATACAGTCAGCATAATAGCTATTATAGCACTATGCGTCCATGTTGTAAGCACATGATTTGTAAATGCTTTATAAACAACGTATTAGATTCATTATTCGACAACACTGCTTCAGTCTAACAACTAGGCGAAATCAGTAGAGTAGTGGTTACCGTTTCTGCTTTCCAATTAGAAGGTCGTGAGTTCAATCCCAAGCTTAACCCTTTTTTTATTTGTGTTCTACATCTAATCAATTTAAAGTTAAAGTAAAGTAGTAATCATCACATGACTCACGATAATGAATGCATTTATCTAGTTCAAAAAATAACCGAGCATTCCTTCCTTGGGATTGGAGTGGTGAAGAGGTAACATTGGTCTCATGTTAAACAACGATGAATGAATTAATCATTCCCACAGGGCCTTGAAGGAGCTAGAGTTGCGATCGGTAGTGCTGATAGGTATTTACTTTCATGCAAGCTTTTATTGATTATTGAATTGCCCATATGATGAATTCTAGGATAGCTCAGATGACAAGGCAAGCGGCTGGTGATCGGAAGGTACATGGTTCGAATCCCATACTCCATACAACGACATGTATAAGTATTTAATAAATTATCTAATTCTGTGTGGTGCGAGCCACGTCAGAAATAATGGATAAACAACACTTAAGAAACACACCCTTCCCTGCCCGCGTCCCTCTTATTTTCGGATTAATTTTCCCACAGTTGAATAATCGTTCAATAAATGTATAATAATGTCTAATTAAACGTTACTTCACATGAGAATCAAGCGTTAATACAGAGCATCACTGTTTTAAGGAAGCAGTGATGTCTAATAAACGCTGAGTAATCAAAAAAAATTATCGTATAAACTCTGTTACAACTCATATAAGTCGAATAAAAAAGCTTCTCGACATACCTTAATACAACACCAAGTAGTTCAATGTTGTGGTTGAATAAATTCTCCAGATTTGTGTGAACAAAGCCTGAACAGAAGTTATTATTAAAAATAGTACAAGTACTATTAAGCATGCAGGTGAATAAAATGGCCAAGAAGTCGTTTCTTCAATAGACGATTGTTTCTTGGGTAGACTGGTACACATATTATTAGGACGATCGTTGCACCTTTAACACTCCTCCTCAACGAACATGTTCGGCTCACGATGATAGACCTAGCATTCCAGCCAGCTTGTTATGCTTGATGGTACCCAATAGCTTAGTCAAAATATCAGCCACCATATTTTCCGTTGACCCACCAAAACAGCTTATTCTCCATTCAACATTTTGCACTCCGACTTGTCAAACAACACTCGAAACCCAATGTCAGTTATTCTGCTCACCGATAGCAGATTTTCCGCAAGTGACGGTACGTGGAACACTTTCTCCAGCTTCACGTTCATTCGACCGCCTTTGCCATTCACAGAAACAAGCCGCCCAGAACCAACACCAACCGACATGATTGATTTACCATCGGCCAGACTAATGGTCGTCACTTTCGAATCATCCAGCTCTTCCAGAATGTCAGAGTTGTTCGTCATGTGGGAAGTGGCACCTGAGTCAAGGTACCACACACCAGCTTCTCCTGCTACTCCAGCAGCAAGACACAACTCTCCTCCAGACTCCGATTTAACAGCGATATTTGCTTGCTGAGAATTCTCCTTCTGCGCACGATCCGACAATCACGCCGGAAGTG